TGCTGGGGTTACAGGTGTGCACCACCACGCCCAGCCTACAAACTATTTTTATTTGGCTACCCACTCTTTTCTTCACCAAACCTGGGCTTGCCCCCAGGAAGAATCCAGTTCAGGCAGAGAAATAAGTACTTTATGCCCTGGGAGGCCTATGTCACGACTGTGACCAGGAAAAAACGGGCCAGCTGGGCCTGGAGCAAGAAGCTGGCTTTTTATTGTTGGAATTGAAGGCCAATTGGAATCACTCTGTGGGGTTTTGCAGCCCACAAAACCCCCTGAAGGCATATATTTTAGGGCCAGGGTGGGGCCCTTCTTTTCCCATGGAAGCCACAGCAACTCGATCTTTAATATGCACATGCATTTGCTGTGGATCTTGGAAAATGCAGTGTGAGTCAGTAGGTCTGGGTCTGCATTTCTAATAAGCTTTCAGGTTGATGCCAATGCTGCGAATCTGCAGTTGGGATAAGCAACCCACCTAAGAATGCCCACGACTTTCCCAGTTTTGGAAAAGAAAGTTCTGCATCCAGGGAAACCAGGAGAGTTGGTCGCTGTATCCACAGACCACACTGTGAATGGAAAGGTCAGAGCAAGGAGGCATGTGCTGAGTTTGTACTGAGCTTCACAGTTCCTGGCACTAGAGTCCCTGAAATAATCCTCTTGTCCTGATAAAGAATTGTAACTCTTACTCTCTAGAAAGGACAGCTGACTCCAAGCCTTCAGGGTAGATGTTGGTTTTGTGGGGCCTGAAGCTTATCTGATCTTAATAGTGGCCTCTTAAGAAAAAATCTGGCCAGGTGCAGTGGCTCACGCCTGTAATCCCAGCACTTTAGGACGCCAAGGTGGGTGGATCATCTGAGGTCAGGAGTTCGAGACCAGCCTGGCCAACATGGCGAAACCCCGTCTCTACTAAAAATACAAAAAAATAGCTGGGCGTGGTGGCACATGCCTGTTATCCCAGCTACTCAGGAGGCTGAGGCAGGAGAATCGCTTGAACCTGGGAGGCAGAGATTGCAGTGAGCCGAGATCACGCCATTGCAGTCCAGCCTGAGCAACAAGAACGAAACTCTGTCTCAAAGAAAGAAGAAAAGATTTAAAATATATTTGTTTTGCAAATTTTACAAAAGTATCAACAGAGTAAATTCCCTCCTGTCTCTTTGGCCTAAGGCCAAACAGGTGCTCACATCTTCCTTCTGGGAAAATGGTGCCGGTTCTCTCAGTGCCAGTGACTGCCAGTTCTGTAAGATGACCACCAGGTGGCAGTCACTCTACACAGTCCCCTTCACATGCCCGCCCTCTCCCCCCTGGCCACCTCCAGAAATTTCCAACTCTTCCTCCAGCTGGTGCAGCCCATTAATCCAACAAATTAATCTATGCTGTGATAATGGGCATAAGGATTTCATGAGCTTCTCTCTCAATAGCATATTTGCCATTTAATGGAAATGCTAAGAGATTGTTTTTAAAATCAGATAAAGAATGCTAATGGAGGCGTTCCAGACACCACAGATCACTGTGGTGATGTTTTTGAGCTAGCGGGCCCTTTCTGTGCTCCACAGATTGCATCTGTGCAGGGGTGCTGCATCTTAACCGCATTCCCCTGCATCCCCCACCCCACCCCACCCCACCATATAGCTTGGGGTTTAGGTATCATATCGGGAGCTCCACTGCCTGGGTTCATAGGTAGATACTACCACCTCTTACTGAGGGTGGTGGTTGAGTAAGGACTTTAACATCTCTGTGTGAAACACACGTAGTAATACTGATTTCATATAATTTTTGCAAAAGATTGAGTGAAATAATTCATGTAAATTTCCCTAGGAGAGTGTCTGGCATGCAATAAACACTTGATAAAGAGCTACCATCAGTGGGGTACAGTGGCTCATGCCTGTAATCCTAACACTTTGGGAGTCCGAGGCAGGTGGATCACAAGGTCAGGAGTTTGAGACCAGCCTCTGCCCAGCATGGTGAAACCCTGTCTCTACTAAAAATACACATACACACACACATTAGCCAGGCATGGTGCTGCATGCCTATAGTCCCAGCTATTCAGGAGGCTAAGGCAGTAGAATCATTTGAACCCAGGAGGCGGAGGTTGCAGTGAGGCGAGATTGTGCCACTGCACTCTAGCCTGGGTGACAGCGCAAGACTCTGTCTCGAAAAAAACAAAAAGCTACCATCTTCATGTCATCATCCCACACCTTGCCTGCCTCCTTCATTCTTCAGACCAAATTCTCCTGTTTTCCCTCCAAACCCTATCTCCAACCAGTTGCTTCAAGGGAACAGAGGGAGGGTTGAAGCCCTAACACGGTAAAAACCAGGCCAGTTCTTGTGGGCACAGCGTTTTCCAGACCCATGATCACCTTTCAAGTTGGAGCTGATTCCTGGGGACATCAAAGCATACGATGGGGAAGGGGCCTTGTTTGGACCAGACTTCAGATAGCCCGGCCCTGCATTTTTGCAGAGGATAAATCTGCAGGTATCACCTTGTGGATACCAGGAACTCAGCACATGTAGATGAGCAAGCAGCGTGAGGGTAGGTGGCTAGAGCAGTCATCTGGTCCAGCAGAGGCTCCATCTCCTGCACTCCTCGTTAGACCTGGGAAGCATTCTCCCTTTCTCTCTCTGATTACAATAATCTTCAGTGACATCTATACTAACAGGCAAAATGGTGTAAGGGTCTCAAACTTGTTGCATATTAGAAGCACCTGGGATTTTACAATCTGATTCTCAGGCTAACTCCCAAACCAATGAAATCAGAATCTCTGGGAATGAGACCCACACATCAGAAAATGATTCTAATGTACAGCAAGTTTGTGAGCCAGTGTTCCAGAGCAGTGTTTCTCTAGCTTTAATGTGCATAGAAGTCACCTGAAGAGCTTGTTAAAATGCAAATTCTGGTCCAGCAAGGCTGGGGCAGGGCCTGAGATTCTAACAGGCTCCCAGGTAATAACGAATGTTGCTGGTCCACAGACCAAGCTGTGAGTAGTCAGGTTGTGGAACGGTGGTTCTCAAACTTGACCACATATCAGAATGATCTGAAGGGCTTGTTAAAATGCACCTCAGTTTCAGATTCAGTAGATCTGAAATGGGGCCTGATAATACGCATTCCTAAAAACAAAAAAAAAAAAAAATACACATTCCTAACAAGCTCCCAGGAGACAGTGATGCTGCTGGTCCACAGAGCACACTTTGTGCAGGTAGCATGTAGAGGAGGCAATACAAGTTTTGGAGCGAGGCAGCTCTCGGCCTCCTTTTCTGGCTTCACGACATTCTAGCTCTCTGATCTTGTATAAGTTACTTAACCTCTCTGAGCTGTAATTACGCTATCTGTAAAGTGATCGTTATTGGGCAAGATCAAATGGGCTAATATCAAACACCTAACAGATTGCCAAGTGGGCTGGTCCTTAAGCTTGATGGCAAATTTAATTACCTTGGGAGACTTTAAAAAAAAACAAAAAAAAACCCCAAAGTTGATTTAATTGGTCTAGGGTACTGAGCATCAGGATATTTTTTCTGTAACAGAGATGAGGTCTTGCTCTGCCACCTGGGCTGGAGTGCAGTGGCTCAATTATAGCTCACTATAACGTCAAATCCCTAACCTCAAGCAATCCTCCCACTTCAGCCTCCCAAAGTGCTGGGATTACAGGCATGAACCACATGGGCTGGCCAGGGTTTTGTTTTTTTTTTTTTTTTAATTTGAGATAGGGGTCTTGCTCTGTCACCCAGCCTGGAGTGCAGTGGCATAATCACAGCTCATTGCAGCCTCAACCTCCTGGACTCAAGCAATCCTCCCACCTCAGCCTCCTATGTAGCTGGGATCACCTATGTGCGCCACCAACCAAGCTAATTTTTTTTTTTTTTTTTGTAGAGATGCAGGGGAGGGGGTGGGTCTCACTTTGTTGCCCAGACTGGTCTCAAACGATCCTGCTTCCTCAACCACTCAAAGTGCTGGAATTACAGGTGTGAGCCACTGAGCCTCATCTTGGCCAGAAGTTGTTTTAAAGCTACTCAAGTAATTCTGGACAGCCAGTGCTAGGTACCGGCCTGGTACGATGGTTCCCAAACTGTGGTGTGCATCAGAATCACAGGTTCCTGGGCTGCATCCCCAGAGTCTCTGACTCCGTAGGTCTGGGATGGGACTGAGAAATGGCATTTGGAACCGCTTCCCAGGTAATGAATACCATGCAAAGAACCAGGGCTGGAGGATAATCCTGGTTTGCTCAGGACCGCACATGTGGAGCATCACTCTGTCCCAGCTGTGCCACTTTACAAGCCCCCCTGGGTCTGACTGAGGGTGGGCCCAGATCCTGATAGGCGGGGAAGCCCCTGCAGGGAGTACAGGAGGCACAGGAGTTGTCAGGGAAGAGAGCGGGTGAGGCCGCCCAGCTGAAACGTGGCATCAGGGGAAGAAGGGCAGCCTTAGCAGCAGTGACTGGGAGCTCAGGAGCAAGATGTGTGGTCGGAAGCCCCAGGAGGCCGTTGCCTCAACGCAAGGAAAAACTTCAACCTTGAGAACTGTGCTGTCTGGAATCGGCACCAGCTTCCTCTTTTGGCATCGAGAGGCCTGCCCCTGTGGCAGGAGGTCGGCCAGCTGAGCTGGGGAGAAGGGGGAAGGAGAGATCTCTCAGTTCCCTTTATAGTCTGAAATTGCACTTCCTGCAGCCTCCAGTCTGCCTTTAATCCAGAAGCTGTTTATTTAGGGAGGTGATGGTCTGGAGCTTTCGCAACAGACTGGCTTTCCCCATGGTGTCCCCCTTGCCCATGAACAAGCGGTTTACTGTCCCGGCGCAAACAGGAAGGCGACAGCGCTCAACTCGGCCTGCCAGCAGGTCCACAACAAAACCGCAGGTGTCGCCTTGGGAGTGCACACAGAGAGGGCTGCGAGTGAATGGGGCAGGCAAGGCCAGGGTACCCTAGGGATGTGCATGGGGCTCCAGGGGACAAACCCTGCCCCAGGCCAGGAGGGAGCAGGAGGGTCCAGCCCACGCTGCTGGCTACATCAGAGCACCAAGAGAACACCAAGTCTTTATTACAGGAATTCCTATGAAACAGCTCCAAGAAAAAACCCACACATTGGAGAAAAAAATAAAGCAACACTCACAGACATAGGGCTTGGGATTCCCCCACCGTGCGCCCAGTCCTGGCGCAGGGAAGGCTCAGAAACCCGTCGGGAACTCAAGCTGGGCGCCTGAGGGGCTCCTCGGAGACCTCCCCTTCCCTCCAGGGCCCCAGGCCTGGCGTGGGAAGCAGCGGAGGGGGTGGCTGCTCCTCGGCAGGGCCGCCTGAACCAGCGTCCCCTGCCCCGTGCGTGTTTCTAAACTTGGTCACGCTTGGCGGCAGCGGCGTGTCCTGGCCCTCCCCAGCAAGGGGAAGCTCGGCCTCGGGAGTCCGGGCTGGTGGGCGGGATGAAGTGAGATCACAGGCTCACCTTTTCTACGCCCTCGTGATCTTCAGGCCACTGAGGCCACCCGGGCCCTGCCAAGAATCGGATCCCACTCCCAACCTCCCAAAGCCGCGCTGAAGCCCTGTGCCTGACCAGGCTTCCCGGCTCTCCGGAAGGTCAGCGCACTCCCATGTCCAGGGCGCTGCGGCAGGCTGGGCAGCCTCCCTCCCCGTGGCAGTGGTCGGTGCCCTGTAAAGGTTCCTAGAATCCGGAGTTCTGCTCCTTAGATCACCCACTCTTCTTAGGGGCACCCAGCAAGCCCTTCGGCCCTAGGCGCTCCCATTCAGGCTGGCAGCCTCTGGGCCTTGCTCTTCAGCCCTGCACCTGCTCAAGGGGTCACTCCGGGGCCACTGCTGCCCACCCTCGGACAGCAGGACTTCCAGTCCAGCTGGGGAGTCACAGCCCCTGTGAGCCCCACCGTGGTGTGACTCCAGAACTGGCTTTTGTCTGCTGCCAAATTAAAGACCCTGCCTCCTCAGAGTCCTCCAGCTCCCGGGTGGCCACCTTCCCCATCCCTGCTGGGTAGTAGGGAGCTGCTGGGGACATGCCCATCCCTAACCGCAGCAGTCTGATGAGCCCAGACAGATGCTCTCTGCAGTAGCCCCATAGCTCCTCACAGTGCCTGAGGGACTGGCCAGGGACCTCCCACCCAGGCCGGGTGCAGGGCTTGTGTGCTGGGCCAGCAGCCCCAGGGGAAGGATGAGCTACAGGAAGCCATGGAAGGGATGGGCACAAGTGCCCAGAGGGAGCTGAGGATGGGAACAGGGGTTCAGGCAGCGTCTGTGACAGGAGAAATGGGGAAGGGAGGGAGGCAGGGACTCCACCTTCAGGCAGAAGAGCCTCTGGTGGGATCTTCTTGCCATTTTCCATATTCCAACTTTGATCTGCTTTCTGGATTTTTTTTTTTTTAAGGGAGGTTTGTTCCCGCATTTTCACTCATTGACCATAGGAATGCCTGGCTACAAAAAGGGCTGTAACTTGCTGCTGCCTTTAGGGGCCCCAGGTCCTTCCTCCAATTGCAAGGCAGCAACTCCGAAGTTCTAAGTTCCGTGGAAAGTGGCAGTGGCTGGGCTGGACTGTGGCTGGAGGATCGCTGGGCCTCGGTTCTCAAGCACCATCTGTCCGGTTGCAGCTGGGCCCTTCAGCTGGGGGCCAGTGTTGCTCTCCAGCTGCCCCCACCGGGTCAGATCGTCTCTGGCAAGGAAGAGCTGCTGGCATCTGGCAGGGGGGAAAAAAGGGATGGGAGGAGTCTTTTCCACAGGAGCCCAATGGTCTTTCCTGGACACTCATTTCTGGAGAGACAGTTTGGGGCAGAAGTTACCAAAGACTGAAGCCCTCTCCTTTCTCCAGGGACTAGAGGTCAACCATGGAACTTTGCCTGGGTCATATTCCGCATTCAAATTCCTAGAACCATTCCAGCTTGCCAAGCTGCAGGGATTCTGGGAGCAGGAGACGGAGTGGGGGAATGGAATTCCTGGGGAAGCAGCTGTAGGGGAGGGCTTCAAGGTGGGAGGGTACCTGGCCCATTCTCATATGTCTTAGCTCAGGGGAGCTAGGCCATGGAGACCTGTAGGGGGAGAAAGGTAAACTGGGGGCAGAACTTGGTAGGCCTCAGACACCAGGTTGAAGAGTTCCTAAGACTTGACTCAGAAGACTTATTCAGGTGGGGCGCGGTGGCTCACGCCAGTAGTCCCAGAACTCTGAGATGCCAAAGTGGGCGGATCATGAGGTCAGGGGTTTGAGACCAGCCTTACCAGCATGGTGAAACCCCACCTCTACTAAAAATACAAAAATTAGCCAGGCATGGTGGCACGCGCCTGTAATCCCAGCTACCCGGAGGCTGAGGCAGGAGAATTGCTTGAACTTGGGAGGGGGAGGTTGTAGTGAGCCAAGATCACGCCACTGTACTCTAGCCTGGATGACAGAGCAAGACTCTGTCTCAAAAAGAAGAAAGAAAGAGCATAGGAGAAACGGAACTAAAGTGGTGTTTTGGTGGTGGGGTAATCAGAGTAGGTACAATGAGAACTGGGCTGTGACCTAGGTGATGAGCTTCTGTCAGGGTGGTGATAGAAGGGACAGAAAAGAGAATGAGGCCGCACATGGTGGCTCACGCCTGTAATCTCAGCACTTTGGGAGGCCGAGGCAGGAGGATTACTTGAGGTAAGGAGTCTGAGACCAGTCTGGCCAACATGGTGAAACCCCGTCTCTACTAAAAATGCAAAAATTAGCCAGGTGTGGTAGCCTGCACCTGTAATTCCAGCTACTCTGGAGGCTGAGGCAGGAGAATCACTTGAACTGGGAGGCAGAGGTTGTGGTGAACCAAGATCGAGCCACTACACTCCAGCCTGGATGACAGAGCGAGGCTCCGTCTCAAAAAAGAGAGAGAGAGAGAGAGAGAATTAAAGGGGAAGTCAGGAGGAGAGACTGAGTTGACATCCAAGGCTGAAAAGAAAATCTTGGGTGCAGCTGGGGACACAAAGCAGCTCTGGAAGTGTTAACTGCGATGGAGATTCAGATGTAGGAGCCAGATGCGCAGTGTTGCTGGTGCTATAAAAGAGGGCAGAGGCACTGCCAGAGTGGGCAGTGAGAAGACTTCAAAGAGGGTCAAGGGCACAGCAACAAGGAGAGCCAGTATTGAAGCAGTGGGCAGAGCCACGGGAGCCTAGAGGAAGGAGAACGAGGCTTCCTGGGGTCACAAGAGCCAAGGGAGGGCAGTTTCAGGAAAGATCGGGGCAGTACGTGGGGAGAAGCACCAGGAGAATGCAGAAGAGGGCAAGGCCCTGGAACCGCTGGGTGACCTCCGAGTCAGTCCAGGTGGTGGGAGGGGCTGCCAGCCTGCAGTGGATGAAGGAAGATGGCAGGGGAGACACAAGGACCCTTGGTTTTTAAGGGGAGGAGGAGGAGGATGTGAACTTGCAGAAGGAACTGGAAAGGGACAAGCTGGAAGCCCTTAGGACAGGAATGAATGATGAGGCTGGCTGCCGTGGCTCACACTTATAATCCTAGCACTTTGGGAGGTCCAGGTGGGTAGATCACCTCAAGTCAGAAGTTTGAAACCAGCCTGGCCAACATGGCGAAAATCTGTCTCTACTAAAAAAATAAAAAACAAACAAACAAAATAGCCAGGCATGATAACAGGTGCCTGTAATCCCAGCTACTCCGGAGGCTGAGGTAGGAGAATCACTTGAACCCAGGAGGTGGAGGCTGCAGCGAGCTGAGATCACACCACTGCACTCCAGGGCAACAGAGCGAGACTCTGTCTCAAAAAAAGAAAAAAAATGGTGAGCAAAGTTCTGATGTAAGGGTGGTTTGGACAGGACCCATTTTCCCTGGGGACCAGGAGGAAGGAGAAGGGGGTGGAGTGGCAGTGGAGGCGTTTCCCTAGCAGGCTGTATCTGAGTACTCCAGGGTGGTGGGAAGTGGGCTGCGGCTCTGGGCTTGAGGAAAGCCTGATGGTTAAGGAAGGGGCTGCAGTGCCTGCTGGGAGATGTGGCAGGGAGTTGGGTGGAGGGGGTGCGGGGCCAGCTGCCCAGGCAGACGGGAGAGGGCGCTTGTATTTACTGATTCCTGGTTTCTCTCACCTCCACTGTGACTATCCTGAGGGCGGCAAGTATTTCTCCATGGTCTGACGCAGGGCCACACCTGCCACACCACCAGCTCAAGAAAGCCTTATAGATGCTGCCCACTGGGACCAGACCAGTGGGGGAACGGCTGGGTAGCTTCCCCTCTCCCATGGGAAAGGGGAGCTGAAAGAGGGAAAGCTGTCCTGGCGAGTCCTGGAGGAGGCCTTGGCATCCCCTCTTTCTTCCCCAGAGAGGGCACAGGAAGAGAGGAGGAGAAATGGCTGGATCCCCAGGGCTTCAGCCAGAAACCGCTGCCTCAGGAGGGGTTTCCTCATCCTGGTGTGGCAGACACCAACCCAACCCAAGCAGGGGGCTGGAGAGAGCTCTGTGTGTGCACAGCCAGCTTGAGATTACCTGTTTTTCTTTTGTTTGTCTTTTTTTTTTTCTTTTTTTGAGATGGAGTTTCACTCTTGTCGCCCAGGCTGGAGTGCAATGGCTGATCTAGGCTCACTGCAACCTCTGCCTCCCAAATTCAAGTGATTCTCCTGCCTCAGCCTCCAAGTAGCTGGTATTACAGGCACTGCCACCATGCCAGGCTAATTTTTGTAATTTTCATAGAGACAGGGTTTCACCATGTTGGCCAGGCTGGTCTCGAACTCCTGACCTCAGGTGATCCACTCACCTGGGCCTCCCAAAGTGCTGGGATTATAGGCGTGAGACACTGTGCCCAGCCAGTTTTTCCTAAATTGTCCTCTCAGTGTGCTATGTGTGTCCTCGTCTGTCTTCTCAACTGGACTGTAAACTCTTCAAGGTCAACGCTGATTTTGTTTTCCTGTTCTCAGCATCTGTCATAGGCAGGTGTGCTTATCTTTTGTCAAATGAATAAATAACTAAAAAAAGACACGCAATGGACTAGTTCCCATGCCCATGTCCCTGCCATGACTATGAGGGAAGACACGTGGGACCTGCACAACCCAGTTGCCCAAGCCTAGTACCTCTGGACACCTGGGAGGACAGACGGGGTGCACAGTGTGGTGGCCCTGGCCTTGGGCAGCTGTGGCTCCAGGCCTTACCTCTTACTGTCCTTCTTGCAGGCCTTCCTCCACCTTGGGTGCCTCCCGCCGCCTTCCCCGGAAGTCTTCGTCTGAGAAGGAGAGGGAAGCTGCCTCAGCCTCTACCCTGGAGGGCCTCGCTCAGGCACGGCCCTTAGATTGGGCAAGAGAGCTGACCCAGCTCTCTCTGCCCCCTTCATCTGGGGTCCGTGCAAGTCCCCCTAGGTGGACAATGCATGGGTCCGGGGAGAGAGGCAGCAGGATACCCAGGTGCCGGCCGGGGTCCACCACTGAGCTCTGAGACCTTGGACAAGTTCTCCCCTTTTCTTTGGGCCTCAGTTTTCTCCTCTATAAAATGGGATGGGAAAGCTGGACTACCTAGATGACTTCCGAGGCCCTTCCAGTCCTTGTTTCTGGGTGCCTGCAGACCCTCGAATGTGGCATGAGGATCAGGGTCCAGCTGCGGGCCCGGTAGGGTCTGAAGCAGAGTCTTCTGGCCCACGTGGCCTTTGGAAGGGACTGGGTGAGAGTTGAGAAGCTTCTGGGCCCACAGACTGAAGCTGCCCAGGGCTTGGTTCTCAGGGTGAGGGTCCCCCATAGGGGTAGGCCTGTCTGCCCCCTCACACCCCAAAGAATATTTCCCAGAAACAGTACCTGGCACTTCATGCTACAGGTAGACATTTAAATGGAAGGAGGGCTAGGGCCCCCTTTCTGGGGTTGCAGGAAGGGAGGTGCAATGTCAACCAAGTTGGGGGGATACATTTCTTTGGGTCACCTGCCCACCAACCCTCAATGTGTGCCTCCAGGGGACAGGGCAGGTGCTCCCATGAAACACGCAGGAACTCGGCTGGGAGATCGGGATCATAGGGAAGTGGGAGCTTACGACTCCCCTCCAGCCTCACCGCATGCGTGGCCCTCCACATCGTCCAGGAGGTTGGCTGTTGATGCGGCAGCCCCCAGCCTGTCAGGCCATTCAGGAAAACTGTCCCATGAGGGGGCGCCACCCTAGTTCTCCCAGACCCACCCCCTCTCTGCCCACCCCTCCAAGCCCTGGAGGCATCCACCACATCCACCTGACCCCCCACCCCTAGTACTGTCCCCCGGGCTCCTTTTCCTGGGGTCAGTAGCGTGGACAGGCTCTGACACTCTCATCCCGCTTACATCTCTGGGGATGGAGACACAGCTTCCTCCCTGTTCCCCTCTGGCTGCTTAGCCTCTGATATCCTAGGCCCTGTTTGAGAAGCACGGACAGGAGTTCGGGTGAAAATGTTGAAAGCCATCTTTCTCCTCGAGGAACTGAAAGTGAGAAGGCAGGGCCAACACGCGTGGAGTGAGAAGGACTCATGCGCCAGTTCAAGCAGAGAAATGAGGGGGAGGTTTGATTTCAATGGAAGAACCACTTTTTCTCCCAAGACATACATGACCTCAGACCAAAAGTAAGTTGTAGGCCAACTTGTGAGCCTACAGAAGGGAGACAGGAGCTGCTTCCCCGGTCCCTGGTTGGCACCCAGAGATGGGCAGCTGAGCTTGTGGAGGGGAGGGGAGGAGGGAAGGAGGCCACAGAGCGGGGTCGCACTCCCAGGGGAGGGCAGGGCTGCAGTGAGTCCGGTGTAGGTTGTGCTCCGTGGCCCTTGGCTTCCACCCGCCCCCCCTCCCCGGTGCCAGGCTGGAAAGGATACGAATGATGCCTCAACAAGTGTTTCCTCTTTGACTTCCTCATTTTGGTTTTCTCTGAGAAGGCTCGGGCAAGTTCAAACAGCTTCCTCCGGGTGGCTGGGGGCAGAGAGACCTGTGAGTCATCCTCTCAGCAGCCAGCACACCAGATGGCCTCCTCCCAGGTGTGGGAAAGGTGGGGAGGGCCAAGACCCCTTGGAGTGGCGAGCAGGGGGCAGGCAAGGGTGGCAGCTAGGGAGGGAGAGGTGACAGGAATTGCAGACCCCTGAGGACACCACCCAGGATTGAGAGGCTGCCTCCCAGGTCAGCCTGCAGGGGTAGCAAAGGCCACCGGGGGCCAGGCCCAGGGACCGCAGGCCGCTGGAGATCCGAGAATTCCCTCCCAGCGGCACCTCTCGGCAATGCATCCTGGCTCACTTTCCCGTGGCCACCACCTTCCCGCCCCTCCCCTAGCCACCTCCAAAGTTGGTTCTGGGATTTCCATGACTAATCCGAGATTTTCCCTGAAATGGAGCCTGAAAGGACGGCAGCCTCATTCACACATGGCTGTGGGTCTGAGTGGCGCGGGGAGGCGAGGGGGCGGGAAGGGGACACTCAATGCTGGTAGGACTTTGTGGAAAGAGGCCCCACCCCCACAGAGGCTTAGCAAAGGCTCTTCTGTGCAGTCAGCTCCGACCAAGCCTCCTCAAGCCACAGAGAACGTGAATACGAGGACTGGGGTGAGAGCATGTACAGCACGTTATTTTTCTGCAGACATCTGGCTCAGGAGGATTTAAAACTTAATTTGTATCTAGACTCAGCTGTAGAGGGAAATGAGGCAGGAGGGCTGAGGGAGCCAGCCTGCGATGAAAGAGTCACTTTGGTTCACCGAGAGTCAGCTGTGTGACACATTCTGGGGGGCTCCCTCCCCGCTGGGTGGCCACAGGGCCTGTCTCAGAAAAGCCGGGAGGGTAGCGGGGCCTGAGTGGGACTCACACTTTCCCATGTGTTTCAGCTTGTCCCTGAATAAGGCATCTTCAGACACAGCAGGGTTGGCATCGCCAGTTCCTGGAAGGAGACACCTGTTGAAGGCTGCCCAGTGTGGCAGCCACAGCTGCCATCCCAGCCCTACCCTCCCATCTGAGGACAAATGCGGAGAAAGAGCAGGTTTCTTCCCTGGCCAGGAGATAGTTTAAAGCAAGGAAGACGTGGAGTTCCAGGAGCTCCTCTTTCCCCTTGTGGACTGTGTTTCCTCCTCTGTAAAAATGGGGACGGTCTAGTGGTTGCTGTGTGTGTAGAGTGCCAGCTCGCATGGGCTCCCAACCGTCCACGCCTCTGACCAACTCCACGTTTCAAGAAGTCACCTTGGTAGCTTGGGTGTATTTCCACCGTGACAGTCACCAGGTGCTACACATCAGGCTTCCACTGCACCCAGCTGGCTGTGAAACATCGGTCAGCGTGCCATGGGCCTGCCGCACTGTACCCCGACATTCATGTGACAGTCTAATGAGGTGCTGGCTCAGAGCTGGCATTCACCTGCAGCAAGTCCCTTGTCCTTCCTGCCAGGGTGAGCCCGTCCCTCGCTCCCTCCCAGCCACAGGGTTTCTGGCTAGTTACAGTGAGTAGGAATAGCATGGGGCTGGTTCTGGAGTCAGAACCCTGCCGGCCACCCAGAGTCTCCCAGGCTTGCTCAGCACCCACTTGGGTCTTTTGCTGCCTTTCTGAAGTCCCTGCTCTCTGTCCTACAACTCCATTAATCCCCAGTCACCTTGCCTGCTAAGTCCCCTTTGAGTCATTCTGATCCATCTCAGCAGCCCCGGTATCTCTAGTTAATTCAGGATCAAGGACAAGAAGCTCCTGCTTAAAACTCCCAGCTGCACATCTGCTGAGGCCTAAGCTCCCAGCCTGCTGCTTATGAGTCAGTTCCACAGGATTTTCTCCCTTCAAGCTGGGATCAGCTCAGCCCCCCATCCCTCTGCTCCTCTAACCCCGACTTCACTGCATGATACAAGGTCTATTCCAGGCAAGAGCCTTTCCCCAAGGTGGGCAGCATGTATGTGTGGGGCAGAGGGCACTGACTGACCAGGGGCCACTGTTCACACACAGGCACCACGTTGTCATTTCCAGTTGTGGCTCAACTCAGTAGTCTGGGCATCCCAGTAGCACTGGTGCTCCCTCACCCCCATCCAATCCTCCTTCAGCCACTAGGGCTTCCGAGCAGAAGGGCATGGCCCTCTTTACAGACAATTCTTGTGTGTGTGTGTGTGTGTGTGTGTGTGTGTGTGTGTGTGTGTGCGTGTGTCAGAGTCTCACTCTGTTGCCCAGGCTGAAGTACGTGTATGTGTGTGTGTGACAGAGTCCCACTCTGTTGCCCAGGCTGGTGTGCAGTGGTGCGACTGAACTCACAGCAACCTCCACCTCCCGGGTTCAAGCGATTCTCCTGCCTCAGCCTCCCAAGGGACTACAGGCACGTGCCACCACACTCGGCTAATTTTTGTACTTTTAGTAGAGATGGGGTTTCACCATCCTTGTGGGCCATGATAGTCTTGATCTCCTGACCTCATGATCAGCCTCAGCCTCCCAAAGTGCTGGGATTACAGGTGTGAGCCACTGCACCTGGCCTACAGGCAATTCTTACTTCCTACCACCTTGTACACAAAGCTAGAAATTCCTCTTCCTCCAACACCTAGGGCAAGGCCTAATAGCTGGCAGATATTCTCCAGCTATGTCATGAATGAATGAGTGAACTCCCCAGATTGATCCTGCCCTCCTTTTTTTCCATGCATTTGCTAAAATCAGTAAGTCCTCAGCTTTGCCAGTTTGTTCTACCTGTTTTCTGGACATTTCTCCTTACAAGATTATAAGATTGGCCAGGCGTGGTGGCTCATGCCTATAATCCCAACACTTTGTTTGGGAGGCCGAGGCGGGAGGATCACGAGGTCAAGAGTTTGAGACCAGCCTGGCCAGCATGGTGCAACCCCCATCTCTACTAAAAAAAATACAAAAAATTAGCTGGGCATGTTGGCGCGCACCTGTAGTCCCAGTTACTCAGGAGGCTGAGGCAGGGGAATTGCTTGAACCTGGGAAGTAGAGGCTGCAGTGAGCAGAGATCATGGCATTGCACTCTAGCCTGGGTGACAAAATGAGACTCTGTCTCAAAAA